ATGGCGTCTAAAAAAGCAGTGTAAGTTGCTCCAAAATATCTATATATCTTTCATTGTTTCACAGATGTGTGAAATAGGCACTAATACCTTCCCATACCACGATAAACCCTGGCCTTTGAACTTTGAATCTGTATGGTTCTTTACTTCTTTGGACCGGAGAACACAATATCTATTATTTCCATGAACAATCTCAAGGGCTGACTCATCAGACCACAATACACATTACTACTGCGCATCTGTGCACTTCAGCTGAGCTTGAGCCCAGAGAAGTCGGCAGCGTTTTTGGACGTTGTTGATATATGGCTTCCACTGTGTCTAGTACAGTCTTAACTTCCATTTGTGAATGTGGATGAACAGTGCTTGTATTCGTGAGCCCACGTGATCATCTCCATCACAGAAGCATGCCAGTTTTTAATACAGTGCCATCTTAGGGGTGGAAGGTCGTGGGCATTCAATTGTGGTTTTTGGTCTTGCTTTTTATGCACAGAGATTTTTCCGGATTCCCTGAATCTTTTGATGATTGTATGCAGAGCGTGAAATTCTTGCAAGATGCTCATTGAGGAGCCTCAATCCATCCTTGCTCATAAAGGACTAGGTCTTTCCGGGATGCTCCTTCTATATGACTGTATCACCAATTTTAAAATGTTTTCTGAACATTAAACAACGTTCTTAGTCTGAAACTGCTCTGTTGCCACTTTTTTGAGATGTGCTACAAACATCAATTTTAGAATGAGTGTAAAATTAAGTTGGTAAGGTAAAACATTACATATCTCATCATTTTCTGGAGAGCTCTCATTCAAGGGGACAATTTAGCCCTCAAAGTATGGCAAAATGGCTCTTTTTTTAAAATGTGCACCAAATGTTTTGTTTTATGAACAATGTGAGCAATTTTTGCCTTGTTTATTAGATTTTTTTTCCTTAAACTGGGGTACCTGTGTCCAATGTTATACTTTCCAGATATGTTCTTTACTGTGTAAGCCCTTATATGAAAGCGCATAGTTATTGAGGTTAGCATAGCTTTACGTTATAAGCTCTTTAGTTTTAAGATTAGGATTACTTTACCTTAGCTCTTTACTTCGCCTCTGTGTTCTTTTTACTTAAGTCAAATAAAGCTCTTGTCGACCTCACTCTACTTTCTCTGGTTTCCACTTCAATTACCTCTTCATGACAGCTAGTTATACTGGCTGCACTATGAACTGAACTATTGTTTGTGAGTTATTGTAGTTACCAGATCTGCGGTTCCTCCTGCTGTCCAGAGAAAGGTCAATAAGAGATGTGATGTCATCCCCAAACACAGAATGGCAGTTGTCAATCAAGAAGCGAACAAGGTCGCAAACCTGTCAGTAGGTCAGAAGCTCATAAAAACCACAGGATCTTTGATGCAATGGTTTTCATTCTAGTATCTAGGTTCTGTATCATACAGTCAATAATCATGAACAATAATTTCAACACAAAGAAATCAAAATGATGGCATATGGTAATTGATGGTATGATACAGGTGTGGCAGATATTAAAGATTAGGTTTAAAAAAAATGGAATATTCTCCACCAATTTTTCAAATGTTCTGCATAATTAAATGGTTAAGAAAGTCATTCAGAGTCGTTTGGTGTGAAACGCTCCATTCTAGATTAACTTATTCAGCAATAAGTGTTCACAGTGGTGGTGATGGGAACCAGACATCTGAAGAGTTTAACGCCTAAACATTGCATATATATGTGTGTGTGTGTATATATATATATATATATATATATATATATATATATATATATATATATATATATATATATAATTTAATACAACTTAATATTTTATATATGCTCTAAAAATCGCACTCTGGCAATCACAAGGGTGGGAAGTACGGGGTCCTAAGCATTTTTATTTCCGGCTGTGTGTCCTAGTTGCACATTGATCCTATTTACACAATAGTGCTACTCTTTACACTTAGCATTGCACTAGATGCACTTTTTGTTACCAGTTATGAATGCCATTACGTAGAAATGTTTAACACAAAACTTCACTTTTTAATTTACTTCAAATCTCACAAGAGCCATTGGGGTCCACAAATTTATTTGTTTGTTTGTTTTTAAGGAATACAGCCATTTTAATATGCATTTTCCAGCTGCCGAAATGCCTTTCACTAATGAGCTTTTACAAGCTTTTACTAAAAAGCTGTATCAGCATCAGATCTTCACCCACGCTCAAATCTGATCTGCTTCCCCACCAACACCAAAACATGTATCCATTTACTATAAAGCCATAACTTAACATAAAATAATATTTGGTCACATTAGGTGACAAAGAGTGACAACATTTAAGCCTTCAGAGGAGCAAAGACTGAAAGCTGGTAAGTTCTGTATTAATCATTTGTTGTTAGCTCTCTGCTGAACTGATCAATCTACCCTAATGAGCAAAAAAAACACAGTCCAATTTCAGAAAATATGGAATATAGACCATTTAAGAAGAGTTATCAGTAACCAGCAGTGCTGCCAGTCTTACAGAGGCATAGCCAAGGGGTGGCCAGAAGTGGCCAGCACCACCCTAACATTAAGTATGGCCACGTTTCTAAGAAACTGAGACCGTCAGCCATCATCAGTAAAGCAGTCAGCAGAAAAAGGTTGTTCAACCCACCCTGAGTGAATTGTTATGCTGTTATGTGATGCTCTTGCTCTCATCGTTTTATTTGAGAATTGTCTTGTTATTGACCGTGTTTAGTTAACTGATCACATCATTGATTTGTCTTTCCATTTTCCTTCACATTTCATTAGTCGGGGTCGTTTGGCATGTGTTTAGTTAAGGTTTTTCTGTACTGTTGCTAGGATGCCCGTCCAGGCCCGTCTACTCTACAACACACAGACTGTGACTGACTAGCGCTCTTCTTCACCTGCATTCAAATAAACTGCCGTTGGCAGTTCAGAGTGCTTTTAATCAGTAAAGCTGCAGTAAGGCTGGAGAAACTTTCTGAGCATTCAGATAAATTGGTAGGCCAAAGTTAACGTGCAAGAAATGACAAGTGTGGCGTGAGAGTGTGAGATTACACAGTCTCAGGGCCAATGCAGGGTTGGCAGCCTTGAGTCGGTCATATTTGTGGACATTGTGGATAAATTTCTTGTGTGCCTTATTGTGCGTCACACCTGTGGGGGACCATGAACACTGTGACCATGATGTGGGGGGGGGGTAGCTAACATAACACTAAGCTAACCTATCATTTCATTCCTACAGTGAAGGTGGACTGCATGAACAAAGCCTATCACTTATAGTACGATGCTGATAGACACTTATAGTACGTAATAAACCTTTACAACAAGCAGCGTTAACAAATTTGGAAAGGCTGAAATAACTGACTTCCTAGGAGTTTTGTCTGGGATTTGGAGCAGCGGTTGAGCAGTTACTTCGTGTGAGGAAGAGGAACCAAGTAGCTGACATACACATAAATCTGACATATACATCTGATTGGTACTACTGGCAGATCTGACATCACCTGCACCAAATAAAGTCTCACCCAACTCAAATCAAACTGAAGAAAACAAAAGAAAAAAGTCATTTAAAAAAAGTAATTAAGATCTCTCAGATTTTTCATCTAATGATATAAAATGATATAAATGACAGTGATGATATGACGATACAATATAAAACAATGATATAAAAAAAATTATCCCTTCTCTGGCAGTTCATTAGGAAAACATTACAAAACTATAGACAATAGTTAGAACAAAATCATGAAAGTGAGTAGATGATCTTTAAATCCACTCATGGCAGAGAGATAGCTGCAGTGTAATGTGCCAGAAGGTTTCAGATGTTCGCGGTTAAAAGGAGAAAAAGGGGCTTTACTGTTAGAATCACAATCCAGGTTTGTGGTCAATAAACAGGTGTAGGTCAGTTCCAATACTTCGCAACTACACTATGCTAAAGCCCGGGATTAAACCGTCATGGTCATATGACAGACAAGACAGGTGAATCAAGTTAGTATTCTGGTGAAGGAGAGCGCTGATTAGAGTGTGAGGAAAGTTCAGGAGTCACTTGGGTCATGTGATCTCCCAGAGGATTCTGGGAGACGGAGTCCGAGTGTGTCTCAGAGCCGGAGGGATGCGTGACATGCAGGGCTTACTGAGTCAAAGAAAACCTCAGAACTGTTATGTGCAAAAACACAAGAGGACATTAGGTCACTGACACTTCTGATAGCAAATAAAATATCTATTTTAATGTTATGGCTGTATTAGACATTACGACTCCCGGTTCCCATCAGCACCACTGTAAAGAAATCAGAGCTAGTAAGTTTCTCTATGCATCATTTCACTTCAAACCGCTTTGAATGACTTTCTTTCCATCTCAACGAATGAACTAAGCAGAAAAAACCTCCTGCCATTAAGAACAACTTCTCAAGACTCAGCAGGTCTACCTTCTTGGTGTCCTCTTGCAGAGTGAGCAAAGAGCTGCTCCACAGCAGACTCGGGGCGATGCACACAGCCAGGTTAGAAGAGTTCATCTGGTTGTGGTCAGCGCGGCTCTGGACGCAGTGAAGCATTGCTATCACGTGTTTCAGCAACAGACAGTGCTCCTCAGGTAAGAGCTGGATCAGCCTGAGAATAGATAAACAGTCAGGCTTTATGAAGAAAACCCAGCCTTTAAATAATGGGGAGTTGGAAGGAGGGTTGTGGATACAGATAGCAGTGACCAACTGTGAGTATTAGAGCTAAGCCTTTTCAATTCAAGCCATAAATGTCAAAACTCGACCAAAACAACAGGAAATAAACCACCTCTACAACAATGCTAATTTCTGCTAGTGTCCCTAGTAGTTTGTTAGCACTAAGCTAATGTTGTATAGCTAAAGCCTATGATTTATAGGCTCACCCTGCACGAAAATGACCGGTCCAACTGACATGCTGTGACATGGATGCTCACGCTACACGTTAAACGTTAAAGCTCTGTTTGTGACAAAGCAAAAGTACTGAGAAACTGAGCTACAACAGCTTTGCTAACTTGTGCCACACTAAAACCACTGAAACTAAAACCAGGTGTCGATGTCCATGCCAGTCTCGCTACAGCCTATTTCACAAAGATGGTTTTAAAAATCATTCGATTAACCCCTTAAATGGCTATGGCCCAAAGTTTTATTACACATTTCTATAACCTAAGAATAGCTCAACAACATCTGTAGCTGGGAGTCCAAGAGAACACAATTGGCCTCGCTTTCTCTGGCTGGGTAGGGTAGCCCTTTCTGTCCCCTCATCACTCCGCCATGCTAGCCAGCGCAGCGTTTGTTAGCTGATGTAACAGAACTAGCAGTTAGCATTCACCTTCAAGCACGTTCAGCAGTTCGAAAAAATGGTGTGGCTGGCTTCACATGACTTAGAGGAAGCTTGTGTTTGCCGTCACCCTCCTAGCGCTGGTGGTATGGTGTGATTGAGGGAGTCCTAACTACTGGGTGGAATTGGAAATGACTAAATTGGGAAGAAAATTGGAAAAAGTAATAATAAAAGAATAGCTCAGTTTGCATTGAAGTCTCTGTAGTTATTGAATAATAAGCCTTAGTATGCACTAAGCCTGGGATTTTAAGGGGTTAACATTCATTTCAATCAGTCAAACAGAGCAAAATGGGCATATACTTCCTCTGGCACCAACTTTTTTGCCTCTGTTTTGTTAGCCTACATGTGTTTCCCAGAATTGGGGCAGTGGTTGAGTTTGTGTGTGTGGTTTGCCCATGACTTCAAGAAATCAGTTTGTGTGATCTGCTCTTACTGCAAAGCAAGCGATGAACATTTCTGACGTTAGAAATCTATCCAGTGGTCCAACTTCTCAGTCCGAGCTCATTTGGACAGCTAATCTGGCATCTCTTCCCTCCTCACATCGGCAAATAACTGCCGATCAAACTGAAATTCAGCCCAATGCTAAAATTCAGTCAGCTCTGACTAAATAGGGCCTAAAAATAGCCTATAATCGCACAGTGTATGCCTGGCTTAACAGATCTGGACAGATGGAGAGACACCCTCCCCTATGGCTAGAATGTAATCCGAACATTGGGCAAACTTTACTGTGAATATACTCCGGGCACTTTTACAGCAAATGTCTTGAGTAATACCCTAAAAGGCCCATATTCTACAATTCCCTAATATATTATTTTTTCCCCCTGAAATTTGTTTGCATGTTGGTGCAGTTGAGAAAGGACGCTTTCAGAGCTCACCTCTGCACTTCCTGTACACTGCTCTCGTTTCCTCTTTCTGCATTGCACTCCACTGCTTTGAGCCACTGGTCATAGAGATCTTCACACAGCAGACTGCCTGGAATATTCCGCAGGAACTCCTAGTAAACAAATGCACAGTGAGTTAAGGATCAGACTGTCATCAGAGAATCTGGTAGGTTTTATCGCTCAATGTGGCCAAGAACCACCTGCTTTGACAAGAAGAGGCAATGTGACTGATAGTCAAAACCACTAATCACAAATTACTGTTTTGGTGTGACGGCCGAAATGGTCCTACAACAAAAACACATCCGCATAAAACAAAGTGAGAAATGCCTGCCAGCAAACATATGGGGATAAATCATCTACTAGATACTAAATGCTTCTAACAAAATATGAGAATAGCTTTCAAAGACAGGATTCAAAAGCACTGTGTACCTTAAAAACAGCAGCAGTCACAAATACAGATTCTTCGCTCAGGCAGTGGTTGTTGTTACCGGAGTCCAGTTTCATTCTTAATTCCCGGCAAGCCTTGACCCCAGCAGAGCGCCGGAATATTCCACAGGTTGCAGCCCCCTCGATACACAAATACAGCAGCATATCCTGGAATACAGACAGTAGTTTATTACCAATGAGATATGCAGAGGGTGGGCGATGGGTAACATTGTGACACATGGAGACGTTCTGATGATACATCATATGTACCAGCTGTATTTATGTCACTTCCAATCAAAACGGCCACTACATAGAAGTTATCTCTGAAGAGATTAGATATAAGATAATCCACTTGTGCAAGGTAGGAGAAAGTCCAAGGAAATTACGTGAAAAAAACAGGAATTTCTAAAACTGGAGTTCAAAAACCCCTAACAACCATGCAAGACCTGGCAGACCACCAAAACTGTCAGATAAACAGCACTTTCATTTCTGAGAGAGAGGAGAAAATCAAGCTGCTTCAGATCTGAAAACATCCACAGGTGTTTCTGTCCATCCTTCCACTGTGAGAAGACGACTCAGCGCTATGGGTCTGAAAGGATGTGTGGCTGTTCAAGAAGCTCTTACTGAGAAAAGGAAATAGACACATCAAACAAAGAAGCTGCTGGTGTTCTCAGAACAATGGACTGACCACCCCAGAGTCCAGACCTCAACATCAATGAATGTGTTTGGGATTACTTGGATCGTTATAAGCAGGAAGTTCAACCAACTTCTAAGACTGAACTTTGGAAGTGTGGAAAAACATCCCTGCAGATTTCTTTGAAAAACTGAAGGTGAGTCTTCTGAAAAGAATGGAAGCTGTAATAAAGATGAAGAGTAGCCACGACAAATACTGAAAATTGTAATATTTTATTTAGTTATTGCTTCTGTGTAATTTCTGTTAAATACCCTCCAATCGTCCACTTCATTAACTACACCTCATTGTCCATTTTATCAGCTCCACTTTCTATATAGGTGCACTTTGTAGTTCTACAGTTACAGACTGTAGTCCATCTGTTTCTCTGAATACTTTGCTATCCTGTTGTTCAGTGGTCAGGACCCCCCACAGGACCTCCACAGAGCAGGTATTATTTGGGTGGTGGATCATTCTCAGCACTGCAGTAACACTGATGTGGTGGTGGTGTGTTAGTGTGTGTTGTGCTGGTCTGAGTGGATCAGACACAGCAGTGCTGCTGCAGTTCTTAAACACATCAGTGTCACTGCTGGACTGAGAATAGTCCACCAACCAAAAATATCCAGCCGACAACGTCGTGTAGGCAGCGTCCTGTGACCACTAATGAAGAACTAGAGGATGACCAACACAAACTGTGCAGCAGCAGATGAGCTATCGTCTCTGATAAATAATAATAGAGCAAAAAACTGATGTACAAAGTCATATTTATGTTGCTCCTCACCTTGACGGGTGGAGGAAGGGTGTGGTCAACGATTACATCACTGAGTGGCCGTCCAAACAGACATCCAGGAGCGAAGTCAGGAGGGGTTGATGATTGTAGTTGGCTGTCCAGGTCTGTGGTGGAGCTTCGTCTGAATGGCCAAGTAAACAGTGGCACCTTTCTCTTAATCCTGGGTTCATCTGAGAGAAGGAAAAAAGAGAGAGAGATCAAGCAGTGAAGAGAATGAGGAGCAGTCACACACACTACCTTTACTTGTCATATAATAACATTTGTTATTTTAAATATAATAATGACTTACAACTAGAAACTATACTTTGTTAGCCTCCTTTTACCCTGTTCTTCAGTGGTCAGGACCCCCATGGACCCTCACAGAGCGGGTACTATTTGGGTGGTGGATCATTCTCAGCCCTGCAGTAACACTGACGTGGTGGTGGTGTGTTAGTGTGTGTTGCGCTGATCTGAGTGGATCAGACACAGCAGTGCTTCTGGAGTTTTTAAACACCTCAGTGTCACTGCTGGACTGAGAATAGTCCACCAACCAAAATATCCAATATAATACTGTCCTGTGGGCAGCGTCCTGTGACCACTGATGAAGGACTAGGGGATGACCAACACAAACTGTGCAGCAGCAGATGAGCTATCGTCTCTGACTTTACATCTACAAGGTGGACTGACAAGGTAGGAGTGTCTAATAGAGTGGACAGTGAGTGGACTCTGTGAAAAACTCTGCTGTGTCTGATCCACTCGTACCAGCACAACACACACTAACACACCACCACATCAGTGTTACTGCAGTGCTAGGAATGATCCACTACCCAAATAGTACCACCCTGCTCTGTGAGGGTCCATGGGGGTCCTGACCACTGAAGAACAGGGTGAAAGGGGGCTAACAAAGTATGCAGAGAAACAGATGGACTACAGTCTGTAACTGCAGAACTACAAAGTGAACCTATATAGTAAGTGGAGCTGATAAAATGGACAATGAGCGTAGAAACAAACAAAGGTCATAATGTTATGCCTGATCGGTGTGTGTATATATATATATATATATATATATATATGTATATATATATATATATATATATATATACACACACACCAATCATATATATTTTGTGGTGTCACCTGTTACAGTGTGGTTGCAGTTCATTCTACAAGGCCTCAGGATGAACTGACAGCGTGTATCATCAGACAACAGCGCCACCTGGTGGTGAGGAAGCGTCTCTCCGTCTTGCTGCAGCGCCCGTAAGTGGTTCATCTTTATACTGTATGGGAACTCATGACCTAAAGGGGGTCAAATTTCAAATGTCTTACACAAATTTCCCCAAATATTTTGAACCTTACAATGATCTTTAGCTAGTGTTATATGTACTGAAATAGGGTTAAATGCATTATATTCCACTTAATGTTTCTAATTACACTATTTATTACACTATTTATACCATTTATATTGAATTATACTGAATATTTGGTGGAGTATAACTTGTAGTGACTTTGTCGTCCTCACCAATCAGAGGGTACGGAGCCTCATCCTTACTGGAGCTCACCCACAACTGATAGTCCTTCACGGTTCCCTGAATGTGGGCACATAAGGTGAAATCATCAACACTTGTACAACATTTCTGTGCGGTTCCAACCTCTCTTTATCCTTTATAGTTGTTTTTTGCTACTGTGCCTTTAAATATATGGAAATAACCTCTGTTCTAATTGGCTGTATTCAAAAAGCAGTCCGGCCTGAAACACTTCTTATAACTTCAATGTGAATGAGCAGCTAAACTGCCATAGGCTGAACAGGCAGATATGTAAATGTGTTGATTTTTGTGACATCACAAAAGCAATTCATTCGAAAACGGGCTGTTTTACGGCTTAAAGAGACACCAGGCCAGCCTAGGTTTTAAAACTCTTTATGATGATGCAGCTTGAAGGTGAGAGTAACTTCAAAAAAGAGAGAAACTATTTCGGGGTGGATTCTCGGGGGGCCATACAGGAAGCCATTCCCACCTTCTGATACGTCAGTAGAAAGGTATTTTTCTAGTCCGGCTGCAAATGTATATATATGCTGCGTTCCAAAGCCAAGGCTGCATTTCTCGGCCGCTATGTCATAGAAGGCCGTTCCAAAGTGAAGCATCCTTCGTATACAGCCTAGAAATGCAGCCTACGTTCTGAGTGGTTTTGAGGACGCGACAGATGTATCCTTCTAGACTTCCGGTTACCCACAGTTCTCTGCGCACGAACGACGTGAAGAAAAAAAAACACCATGAAAATGGTGGAAAACAAAGCCATTGGAGCAGCTTGTTTTAAAATGTAAGTTGGTCACATTCTTGAATTTGTCTTCATTACGTTATAAAGTGTATAATGAAGAATTTGTCCATATATTGTGTATCATCCACATATCGTATGCCATCCATACATCAGATACTTAAAAGTATTTGTATATATGTAGTTTATCATACTACATAAGAACATTGCGACTAACACAATGCAACTCTATGCTCCATTTTCTCTCACCAGTTCCCTCACAAGTTTCGCGCTGCAATTGCAAGAGATGGGACCTTTCTGGTGACGTCACCACGCAGCCTCGTTAGGACTGTTCCATTTGTGTGACCTAGGGGTGGGAATCTTTAGGCACCTCACGATTCGATTCGATTACGATTCAGAGGCTGCGATGCGATTATAAAACGATTATCGATGCATCTCGATGCATCTTTTTTCTCTACACAGGATTTCTATCTTCCTACTGTCTGAGGACTTGGTAGTTTTAAAGCAAAGTATTTGTAATGATCCATAATGTAAATGCATTACGGATCATTACAAATACTTTGCTTTAAATATCTAAAATATCTTTTATTAATAAATCAAATGGAAGTGATGTGGCAAGTGAACTAGAAGGCTCTCATTCAGAGACGCTGCTGCCACTCATCTGCGATAAAATGCGCTGTTACCCTGAAATAAGATCCAGTGGTAACAGGTGTCCACGTAGTACGTTACAGTACGTTTTTTAGTGATTTTATAACTTTGGTTTTGGTCTCGTTGTAGAGAGTGTGGGTCACATAGGACCGAAAAAACAGAGAACATTGGACTGAAAAAACAGAGATTAAGACGAACATTTGGAGGACTTATTCGCATTTATAAGCAGCGCGGTTGGTTAAATCTGCAACGAGAGACTGTATTTCTCTAAAAAGTCGCGAAAATGAACTCGCTTCTCTTTCGAATTTTCCCGTTCCACCTTAAATGGTACAGCAGTTACATTCGGCGCCTAAGGCAGAACTTAAGGTGGAATGGGAAAATTAGAACGAGAAGCTGGCGAATGAGAAGCGACTTCAGCCTCGTAAAACAGCCGGACGCTGAGACATTTTACAAGAAACTCTTCTAGTTTTGAGGAAAGGTTTTCTGGCGGAGATGGGAGGAAAGCGGCTAAAGCTTAAAGTAGAGCGAAGTAAATCTGCGCTCTCGTTTATATTGTTTAGCCCATACTAGGACATTAACACATACTGAGACATAGTGGACATTAAATGTTGTGGCTCCTAAGGTGGTTTGACTTTGTTGAAAGGACAAAATGGCTCTTCTCATCATTTGTGTTGTGACTCCTGACCTAACCTGGCTTTAATGCAGAGGGAGCCGGTCGGATTTCTCGCTCATCCAGTTGTTTTGTTGTTATGTGCCACCACAGACTGTCCGGGCGCTGCACTTTCCCACTTCCAGTTCCGCCTTTTGCGTTCCGTCAACATTACGCCATAAATTAAATATTTAGAAAATCGATTTTTGACGTTTTTTAATCGATTCAGAATCGTTCACGTCCGCGTCGCGATGCATCTAAGAATCGAGTTTTTCCCGCACCCCTAGTGTGACCAATAAGCTACTAAGGAGGAGTCTTCATAGGACAGTCCTACCGAGAACCCGCACTACCTTGGCTGCAGCCTAGACCCTGGAATGCAGCTATGGACAATATACACTATTGAGTTCTTCATTTATTTCACTTCCAGTCAAAACGGCCATTAAGTACAGGGCAAAAAGCAGAAAAGAAGCAGAAAACATTTACAAGATTTTAGTTTTCAGTATTTAATGTGTCCACTCTTCACCTTTATTACAGCTTCTTTTCAGGAGACTCGTTTTCAGTTTTTCAGAGAAATCTGCAGGGATATTTTTCCACATATTTTCCGAAGTTCAGTCTTAGAAGTTGGTTTAGCATTTTCTGCATCTCACAATCCAAATAATCCCAAACACTTTAGGTGATATTGAGCGGAAATCAAATAAATGAAAGGCAGTCTCTGACTTTTGCACAGCATTGTAGTACGTCAAACTTTTTTCCTAAAAAAATTAAGGAGAATTCAGTTTCCAGTGATATACTTACCTGCAGTCCAAACTGCTGGAGCGCTGTGTTGATAACGTCAGAGGTGCAGTCCGTATTTCTGACAGAGAGAGCTTTTGTCTAACAATTAGAAAAGTACATTTACACACTCATATCACCAATACAGACACACTGTATTCAGAAAAATGCACATAAGACATAAAATCTCCGCCTTACGTAGGCACAGTTCCCAGTATCCTTCACATATATCTTGAGTGGGATGACTTTTGGGTCATCATGCTCTTTCTCCTCTTGTATACAGCTGGATTGAGAGGATTGAGGGAGAAAATGTGGAAAAACAAGTAGAAAGAAGAAGTGACAGAAAGAAACGTTAGAGGAATTTGGTTTCTTTCTATGTTTCTGTGGTTTCTTTGAACACTGTATGTCCAAAAGTCTCCAACAGCCCTTCTAAAAGTACATTCAGCTACTTTATGGTGCACCTATTGCTGACACATGAACTTAAGATCACCTTGCCCAATGCCAGGTGTCAGCTTTAAAGCCCCCAGTATTGGGCTGTGAATCAGTGAAACTGTGTTCTCTGGGGTGATAGAACTGATCATCCAACATCAGTACCTGACCTCACTAATGCTCTTGTGGCTGAATGCAATCAAATCCTCACAGAAATGTTGTTCCAGTATACAGCCTACCCAGAAGAGTAGAGGCTGTTACTGCAGCAAAGCAGAACAAACTCCCTATTAATACCCTTCATTTCAGAAGAAACGTTGGATGAGCAGGTGTCTACAAACTTTTGGACAAATAGGGTTGGTTTCCTGAACATGATTCAAGCTTAGTCTTGGACTAAGCTGCAGTGCCAATCTGAGTCTGACTAACTGGCCCATAGTGCCGTATGAGACTTCATTACCTTTCAAGTAGGGAGAGCCACCTCTCTTTCTGGTAAGCCGTGCTAGAGAGAGAGAAAATAGAGAAACCCCATATCAAACAATCACAAATACATATTCGTCCCATTATTAGTGCAGTTGTGGGTTACACTTTGTTTGGATAGCCCAAAAAAGATGCTTTGTAGATGCTTAAAGGGGAATTCCACTGACTTTTTTTAATTTCTGTGTGATTTGATTATTGAGACATAAACAAACTCATTCAGAGTGGTTTGATACGAAATGCTTCATTGTAGAGAAACAATGTAGTGGTGGTGATGGGAACCAGACATCTGAAGCGTCCACTGACTCTAAAAGCTCCTTCACAGAAAGTTGTCACATGAAGTAGTATTGAATACACTGCCTGCTGCCTGAGACATGGTTTTATGATAGTTTTGAGAAGGTTTTGGCCTAAAATGTATTTTTAAACTCACACTTCATGGTGAAGAGGTACATGCAGGGAGTTGTAAGCAGAGTAGTATCCAATGAAAACATATTTTTTCTGATTTACCAGTATTTAATCATTATCAACATTGCATATAAAAACTTAAAAGACACACAGATTCACTGGTGATGCGGGATAGTAAATAAAATGGCTATCTTCGGGTTGTAGACATCTGCTTCCTATCACCACTATTAAATACATTTCTTTATAATATACAGTCTCACAGCAAGCCACTCTAAATGACCTTGTTTACACCTCAATGACTGAATTCTGCAGTGATATTTTAGAAAATTGGTGGAATTCCCCTTCAACTTGCCTTTAACTTGCGTTTCTAAATTTCTATCAAATCCACCTTTATTTTACCTAACACTCACTCTAACTCTACTCTTAGCCTCCACTTAGAACCGAATTTTAACCCTAACCTTGGTGTTAATCCTAATCCTAACCCTAACACTAATGATAACCACCAGATAATTTGAACATCTGTAGAGCAGCGGCCATCAAAATACAGTGGGACCCCAGCATGTCAGTATTAAAGGGCCAATATCATGCAGAACTAAACGTTCCTCACTTTTCTATGACATACTATGCAAACTTCAACACACGTGCTGTTTACTCATCCATCCATACACTAAGCTGCAAAAACAGGCTGTTTTTGCAATCACTGTATTTGTGATGTCATGAACGTCAACACATTTACATAAAACCGCCTATTCAGCCTGCAGCTTACAGCCATTTAGCCATGTCTATTTAGTCTACAGCAGTTTAGCCCAGCCCACTTAAGCTGAATATATAATGAGTGTTTCAGCTCAGACTGCTTTTTGAATTAGGCCCAATAAAGCATAGTACGTTTACATGTATCAGTCTTAAAAGCACATTAATAAAAACAGGGATAAAGAGAGGTCATGTAAAACGTATTATGACTGTTTGGGTATATAAAAACACAGAAAAATATCATACAAGAAAAATGTAGCATATGTGCCCTTTAATATAATTTATATTATCAAACCTTTAATCCACCTCCACCTGTCATATGTGTTGATGTTGACATGTACCTGAAAGTAGCCACACAGTTGTATGTGGGCCAGCCGATGACAAAGCTCGTGTCTGGACTGGTGGTGCTCTCACACACCTCGTCCAGGCAGCTGGCCGTCCACATCTCACACACACGCACACACGCCTTCTGCTTGACCTGAGAACAGGACCTGAAAGAACACAGGAACAGTGTCAAACACACACACATATAAAAACATAGAATATGACACAGTGTTTATCCAGAGCATTCAAGACATCCGGCATAAACACAACAGTACTGCACAGAGATATTAACATCATGTTAATGAGCCTGAGGCTACTCCTGAGAAAAAGGTCACGTGAGGGTTTTAATACATCATTACTGTAAAATACAAGTCACACAAATTTGTGCACCCCTGTCAAATTACATGTGAAAATAAGTTAACACATCCTTCACAGAGAACACACTTAAATATGGCATTTTCTGATAATTATAGTTTTCTATTTATATTTTTCAGTTTAACATTGAGTGTGTTTACATGCACTCAATAATCTGATCATAATCAGATTTCTGCAGTTATCTGATTAGTTAAATTGTCATGTAAACAGCATACTCCAATTTCTTAGATCAGAGTAATGTCTAGAAATCCAATTAAGAAATATGATAAAGAGAGCTGAATTTTAGCTCAGTAATCAGTGCATGTAGACTCTTACTCTGATTTCTTTCGGATTCCTCAGTCTGAGCATGTGTGAAAACAGCAAGCAGCGTTGCCGCGAGATGCAGCAAAACACTTTTGGAGCGACGCTGAAACCGATTACATTCTCTTCTGACTATCTTGGTGCAATGTAAAAAGTGTGTGGCATGAAGTTTGAGTTTACATTACGTCGCGTCTTTTTCAGTGAGTTTATTGGCTGGTTGCAAAGCAGATATCCGATTACTGCCCGACTCATGTAGACCCGGAGTTTCCCCATTATCTGATTACTCAAGTGCATGTACATGCGATGATCAGATTACTGACAAAATCGGATTTTCTGCAGTTATTGGATTATTAAATGCACGGAATGCATTCACTTTAGGAAAGAATCAGATATTAAAATGTGCCAAAACCTTTGCACAGGCCCTCTCCAATATGTGCAACTCTGAAAATAAACAGTGGTTGTGCATTAAAATGTGCAGAAGTGTGTTCTGTGTAGAGGATGCATTTGTTTATTTTCACTTAGAAAATCAACAAAATGTGAAAAAAAAAACAATTGACCAGTGGCGCACAAACGTTTGCATACGACTGTATACTCAAATGCTTTTGAGTTTTCATCTGACCAAATGTCCTCGTTCAACTCTTCGAATTCATACAAAATATGGTTGCGTTGTCATATTATCACCCTTTTAGTCTACAGCACTTTAGCTCCGCCCATTCCCACTAAAGTGATGTGGAGTGTTGTTACTGCAGGCAAACTCCCTAATAACACCCATGTTTTTAGAAGACATGCTGGATGAGCAGGTGTTGAAAAACTTTTCAACATGTAGTGCCGGCTTCCAGGACATGGACTAAGCCTAACACTGGAAATTCTTTTTAAATCTTGGATTAGTCATAATCTGTTTCGGGGGAAACTACCACATGGTGTACAAATGCCTGTCCATTCAGTCGATGGCAATTTATCGCCCGCCTATTCACATTAAAGTGATGTACAGTGTTGTTCCTGCGGACAGTCTGCAGCAGAGATATTGAATGGAAGATATGAGGAAAATGATGAAACATTGTGCTGTTCCTGGCTGTCAGGAAGCAAGTGGATTACTGCAGCCTTCTAAAGCATCCACATATCTCAAACATAAATGAAAACAACAGTTTGTTCTGTACATTTCAGCCTGGAATGCTATGGAAAGAGGCTCAATACAGGGCAGCTGACCAGGACATAGATTGTTTATACATAATCGTATGCAAAAGTTTGGGCACCCCTGGTTAATTTGCATGTTTTGTTAAAGTGAAAAGAAGTAAGATACTCTACAGAGAACGCACTTCCGCACATTTTAATAAACAAGCATTTATTCGCTCAATTTCAAATAATGGAAAAAAATTACATAAAATGTGGCTGTGCAAAAGTTTAGGCACCTTTAATAATTCATATTTTTTTATGTTAAACTCTTGAAATGGTGCAAAAAAGTGCCATACTTGAGTTTGTTCCCTGTAGAAGATGAACTGATTTTTACAAAATGAGTAATTCGGCCAGGGATGTTCAAACTTTCGCAGGCAATCCTACATCAATCTTAAAGGGATAGTAATAAAAAGTTTATGTGTAAGGAATAAAAAGAGGTTGGAAAATGGCAATATAAAAATAAATTATGAATTATGTTTTTTGTACAAACAAATTTTATAAGCAGACAAAATCTGGGCTCTTTAAAATAAAGTTGTCATCTTTAACTCTATTGCCATTTGCCCGGTTTCCCACACCTCCCTCAATCTCTCTCTGCTTACTTGGCCTTGCCGATGATGAAGACATCGCTGAAGAGGAAGAGGTAGCGCTCCTGAGTCTGAAGCCCCGCCTGCAGCCGCGCGACGCCATGACAAACCAGCGTCCGCCTGGGGCCCAGCAGGGACTGCACCAGGTCACAGGAGGCGGGGCTAACGTCAGACACACACTCACTGCTACACACACACACATGCATGCATAAATACACACAGACATGCGGTCAGACTTTTTCCCGTAAATACTCGCATAATGAACCAAAGAATTCCTCCACTGGTTTTAAATCAGTCCAGCGCTGTGACGCGTCTCCTCTCACACAATTCACTGATTAATTAGTTCCTGTGTTAAACCTAACAAAACCCAGACCCCACAAACACACAGTCTTTGTCTGTTTCTCCCTCACAGATGGATGCACAAGCATTGTGCATACACACAGACGTGCACAGAGACCCCCACCCACCCACCCACCCTGAATCATGAACAGTGAGCTGAAATGTTTCTCATTTACATGATAAAAATTGGTTTAAAGTTAAAAGTTTAGCATTTACACACATACATTAAAACACTTACATTCAGGGAACTGTTCATAGAAAAATTTAACTATTTAAAGGGGAATTACACCACATTTTCTAAATTTCAGTACAGTTAAATCATTAGGATATAAATATTTTTTTCCAGAGCATTTTGGTGTGAAATGCTCCATTTTACAGAAACCTCCTAATTAGGAATTGTTCACAGTGACGGTGAAAGGAAGAAGAGTAGAACATGTAGTGCCATATATAAAAATACTGTAATAATAATACAAATAATAACAGTAATAATAATAAGCAACTACAATAATAAACAACTACAATGACTTTTATTCCTATTTTATAAACTGCAATGCACTATATCAAATTAAACAGGTCTAATTATGCTCACTTTGTAATGAAATACATAGTGAGGGCTCTGTAAGTACTGATGACATCAACAATACGCTCAAAAAAAACATACTGTGAGATAATTTAACATGATAACACTAAAAAATTAGATACATCATTTTTTTAGATATACATGATACATCTATCTATGTCTTTACATATATATATATATATATATATATATATATATATATATATATAAAAAATATATTTTTTGTGTTATTGTGGCACAAACTGAAAATGCCTACTGCTCTTTACATTTCATGATTGCTCTAAATTACTTGGAAAAAAGTCTAGTTACATAGACTTTAAATGCATTCAATAGTACAGCTAAACATCCAATATCTCAGTATACAATGTAAAATAAATGCATAGCAAGACGGCAATAATAGCTCAAGACTTCTAAGGTCTATGAGTGAAAGCCTTTTTATCTGTCGTACTGGAAAAGAAAAGGTCATCATACCTGGCAGTGCTGGCCTTTGTCCTGCTCAGTGCTTTACTGACAATGAGTGAGGGAGCAGACAGCCTGCGCTGAAAGCAGGGCTTCACTTTCTACAGAGAGAGAGAGAGAGAGAGAGAGAGAGAGAGAGAGAGAGAGAGAGAAAGAGTAATTTACTGGGCCCTGCCATTAAACTTCAAAAAAACAAATGTAATGATATTTCAAAACGGTCCAGATCAAGGATCTCAGGGAAAACAACATTCCTTTAGGTTAGGTATGAATAATACTGAATATTCAAACTGTTATAATTATTTAAGTATAAATATAATATAGCATAATCAGTTCTTCTGGAAATTTTAACCTGGCAGTGAATGAACTGAGAGACTAGGCTCACATGGCTTTCTGTGCCATAAAACAACAAACTCCGTTGGAAATTCCAATCAGAATTTGTTAAAAACATTTCCATCAGTCACTGAACCAGTTGCCGTTTATGGTAGTGAAGTGTGGGGCCTGCATACTAATCAGGAATTTAACGAACGGGACAAACGTTCAAATGAGCCGCTGCATGCAGAGCTGTGTAAAATTATTTAAAGGTGCACAAGAATGACAAAAACAATGTATGCAGGGCAGAATTAGGCCGATTTCCATTAGTTATAAAAATACTACAAAGGCCAGTCCAACTGTGGACACATTAACAACACAGTGACCCCCATTCATATCATTAAAAAGCTCTGCAGTACCAAAACAACAGTCCCTTCACTCAGCTGACCCTGAGGCACAGTGCTACACCTACACACACTAACGCCCTACTACCACCCCACTAACACACACTAACACCCCACTGACACTCACTAACACTCTCTAACACACCACTACCACCCCACTAACACTCACTAACACACCTCTACCACCCCACTAACACTCACTAACACTCACTACCACCCCACTAACACACACTAACACTCACTAACACACCACTACCACCCCACTAACACACACTAACACCCCACTAACACTCACTAACACACCACTAACACACTAACACTCACTAACACACCACTACCACCCCACTAACACACACTAACACCCCACTGACACTCACTAATACACCACTACCACCCCACTAACACTCACTAACACACCACTAATACACTAACACTCACTAACACACCACTACCACCCCACTAATACTCACTAACACTCACTAACACACACTAACACTCACTAACACACCTCTACCACCCCACTAACACTCACTAACACTCACTACCACCCCACTAACACACACTAACACTCACTAACACACCACTACCACCCCACTAACACACACTAACACCCCACTAACACTCACTAACACACCACTAACACACTAACACTCACTAACACACCACTACCACCCCACTAACACACACTAACACCCCACTGACACTCACTAACACACCACTACCACCCCACTAACACTCACTAACACACCACTAATACACTAACACTCACTAACACACCACTACCACCCCACTAACACTCACTAACACTCACTAACACACACTAACACTCACTAACACACCACTACCACCCCACTAACACTCACTAACACTCACTACCACCCCACTAACACTCACTAACACACCACTACCACCCCACTAACACCCCACTAACACTCACTACCACCCCACTAACACTCACTAACACACCACTACCACCCCACTAACACACACTAACACTCACTAACACACCACTACCACCCCACTAACACACTCTAACACTCACTAACACACACTAACACTCACTAACACATACTTCAACCCCACTAACACACACTAACACACACTACCACCCCACTAACACTCACTAACACACCACTACCACCCCACTAACACACACTAACACTCACTAACACACACTAACACTCACTAACACATACTACAACCCCACTAACACACACTAACACCCCACTAACACACTCTAACACACACTAACACATACTACAACCCCACCAACACACACCAACACCTTACTAATACTCACTAACACACCACTACCACCCCACTAACACACACTAACACCCCACTAACACTCACCAACACTCACTAACACACCACTACCACCCCACTAACACACACTAACACCCCACTAACACTCACCAACACACCACTACCACCCCACTAACACACACTAACACCCCACTAACACTCACCAACACTCACTAACACACCACTACCACCCCACTAACACTCACTAACACACCACTAACACACCACTAACACCCCACTAACACAAACTAACACTCACTAACACAAACTAACACCCCACTAACACTCTAACACTCACTAACACACAATAACATTCACTAACACACACTAACACATACTACAACCTAACACTCACCAATACCTTACTAACACACACTAACACCCCACTAACACTCACTAACTCTCATTAACACACACTCCAACACACTAACACACCACTACCACCCCACTAACACACACTAACACACCACTACCACCCCATTAACACACACTAACACCCCACTACCTCCCCACTAACACACCACTACCACCCCACTAACACACACTAACACACACTAACAACCCACTAATAACCCACTAACACTCACTAGCACACACTAACACACACTAACACCCCACTAACACACCACTACCTCCCCACTAACACTCACTAACAACCCACTAACACCCCACTAACACTCACTAACACACACTAACACACCACTAACACACTCTAACACTCACTAACACACTCTAACACTCACTAACAACCCACTAACACCCACTAACACTCACTAACAACCCACTAACACCCCACTAACACTCACTAACACACACTAACACTCACTAACACACTCTAACACTCACTAACAACCCACTAACACCCCACTAACACTCACTAACACACACTAACACCCCACTAACACCCCACTAACACTCACTAACAACCCACTAACACCCACTAACACTCACTAACAACCCACTAACACCCCACTAACACTCACTAACACACACTAACACCCCACTAACACCCCACTAACACTCACTAACAACCCACTAACACCCACTAACACTCACTAACAACGCACTAACACCCCACTAACACTCACTAACACACACTAACACCCCACTAACACACTCTAACACTCACTAACACATACTAACACCCCACTAACACTCACTAACAACCCACTAACACCCCACTAACACACTCTAACACTCACCAACACCCCACTAACACACACTAAAACTCCTTCTCTAAGTCTTTAAGTCTTTAAAAAAGCTCTGGCCATAGAAGTGTTAAGATTTGCCATGACAATAAAGCAAACCTTAAATTGAACTAACCTGAAATAAGAGAGAGAGAAACAGAGAAAGAGACAAAGAGAGAGAGAGTGACAGAGAAATAGAGACAAAGAGAGAGAGAGAGAGAGAGAGAGAGAGAGAGAGAGAGAAAGAGAGACAGAGAGAGAGAGAGAGAGAGAGAGAGAGAGAGAGATAAAGAGAGAGATATGGACAGATAATGACGGAAAGAGATAGAGAGACATATTTACAAACTTTAGCTCTAACAAGGAGAGAGAGAAAGTGAAAGAGAGACAGAGGAGGGAACACAGCTGTCTCTCTACACAGTCTGACATCCCTTCTAATGAGGTCCACCTTAAACTGTGCAGCAGTTACTTTCTGGCGCTGACCATTTAAGGTGGAACATTATTATTATTCGTCAAAGAGAAGCCAAACTCCTTGATATGAGAAGAGGAAACGCGGGTGTCAAGCTGGACGTATGAGGTCCTAAAACTGACTGAGTTCTCTAAACCTCGCTATCGCGCCGCTGTCATTAGTCACAGACTCTGCAGTACCGTTAGCTCCGCCCGCCGGTCACCGCTGACCGGCTCTCCGAAGACCTTCATCTCACGCGCCCCTCACACCGTGTGGCTGATAAACGGGTCCTGATGCGAAGCTGCAGTGCGGAGAGGTCCATCTCTGTGTCCAGCCTGAGCTTCACTGAAGCAGCAGCCGCTCAGCAGAGCTCTTTCAGTGAGGAACCTGGAGGAGGAGCCGGCGTGACTGTAATACCGCACAGCGCCTCTAGAGGGCGGAGCTAAACCTCCCCCTCCCCAAACCGCTTACATACACTAAAAGGGGAATTCCACCGATTTTTCAAAATTTCTGCACAATTCAATCGTTGAGATGTAAAGAGTTTTTTTTAAAGCGGTTTTATTCGAAATGCTTCTTTCTAAAGAAACAATCAGTCGACTTTCTTTACAGTGGTGGTGATAGGAACCAGGGGTCACAATGTCTACAACACAAATATAGCCATTTTATTTACTACCCAAAACAGCCAGTGAACCTACAGATGTCTTCTGAGTTTTCATATGTATTGTTGATCATGGAAATATGACAATAAATCTGGCAATAAATCCTTTTGTTTAATAGAAGTACAACTGTGTTATTTGTATTTATCTTTTTTCGTTTGTTTGTTTTTTACAACTAAAGGCAGCTTACTAACTTAATGGTATCCCTTGATTGTACAGCACTTTAACCTGTTGCGTGTATGAAACGTAAATAAAGCACATTATTATTATTATTATTATTATTATTATTATTATTACTACTACTACTACTACTACTACTACTAGTGATGTTTCATTTTATCATGTGGTATCTGGTGCTGGCATTCAATTGAATTCATGCATCCTACATATCATACTTCTGCTCTAATTTATGTTGCCAAAATAGAAGTTGAGAAAGATCAGTGCAGGGGAACCCAGCTTTGGTTCTGAAAGGCCTCAGTGCAGCACAGTTTGGCATGAACGAATGTGGCCCTAACCCCAGTGTGCACTGTCCGGACGCCATGGTAGATTTGGTTGAAAAGGTTAATATTTGCATAGCCTAAAAGGTCACACACAAACAGATGCATGTTCAACTCAACACCCACATGAATGTGAACATGGCCTTTGCTGACTCTGACATCACAGTGAGCTGCCATCACTACAGACTTTAAGATAATGATAATTCTTTCATTGATTAATTCATCAGTTGTTTAATTGACATCCTCATCAGCTAAACCAAACCGTTTTAGGTTTACTGACTGATAACCTGAAATGGCAGGCACCCGGACCCCCGGACCCCTATGATGGCCGTGAGAGCCGGCAGACTTGTGTGCCGTCCCCCTCTCACTCGTGATTCTCTTCTCTTTGACCTCTCTTGGAGTTCAGGCCCCGCCTTCCTGCCGGCTCTCGCGGCCGTCAACAGTGCACGGGGGACGGACGCATGCCATACCTGACTACACAATGACCGACTACAACCTGACTCACAGACTGACTTCTTCCTGACTATTTGAATACAACCTGATGGACTGATTACACCCTGACTGATAGCCTGACCATAAACCGACTGACCGACGAGTGACCGCATCCTGGCTGAAAGACTGACTACACCACGACTGACGGACTACACCATGACTGACGGACTACACCCTGAGTGACCACATCCTGGCTGAGAGACTGACTACTGACTATTGACTACACTTATTTCCATGGTTACACTACACCCATGTCTGTGGTTATGGAACACTCAATTCTATAGTTAAGCTGTATGAACTTCCATGGTTACACTACAACAATTTTCATGATTATATTTCACTCACTTCCATAATTATGTTTCCACAGTTACACCACACCCATTTCTATATTTATGCTACACCCATTTCCATGGTTACTCTACAAACACTTCCATGGTTATACTTCAGCTATTTCCATGGTTATGCAACTCCCATTTCAATCGTTACGCTAGATTAATTTCCATGGTTACTCTATAGACATTTCCATGGTTACACTACACCCAGTTCTATAATTACACTACACCCATTTCCATGGATACTCTACAGATACTTCTGTGGTTATGCTTCAGCTATTTCCATGGTTATGCTACTCCCATTTCAACCGTTATGCTACACTAATTTCCATGGTTACTCTACAGACATTTCCATGGTTACACTACACCCAGTTCTATAGTTACGCTACACCCATTTCCATGGTTATGCTACTCCTATTTCCATCATCGTGCTACACTCATTTCCATGGTTACATTACACTCATTTCCATGGTTACTTTACACTCATTTCCATGGCTACTCTGCAGACATTTCCATGGTTACGCTACACCCTTTTCCATGGTTACTTTACATTACTGTCCATGGTTACTCTGCAGACATTTTCATTGTCATACTTCATCCATTTCAATGATTGTGCTACAACCATTTCCAAGGTTACATTACATTTGTTTCCATGGTTACTTTACACCAATTTCCGTGGTTACTCTGCAGACATTTCCGTGGTTATGCTTTACCTATTCTGAAAACACAAACAGGCGTAACAGTGACTCACACTAGAACTGCAGAATTCTCCACAGCTTCGGGCTCGACTCCTGCGTCCATATACAGGCTCCATGACCAGCAGAACGGTTTTGTCTGTATGGGCGTCCGTCCGTATCGTTTGAATGATCAGATGAGTCCTTCCACAGTCCAGCATCTCTCGTAAGGCCCCCCCTTCTGAAACATGGAAGATTATGTCTGTGTCCCAGGCTGTCCAGGGGAGGGGTGAGGGGTCAGGAGTTCACAAAACAACGGAGTGATATCTGCTGTATGCTCTATGATACTGTACATTGGTTAATGAGCAATTTGATGCACCTGCTAATATAAACATGACCTATTATATGGGTTCATTTCCATAATCCCCTGCTGATATGATGTATCTTACATCTCATATGTGTCCTTAACACTAATAGCACCACCCCCTTTATCCCTCCCTCTCCCCCTCCCTGAGGTGAGTAGATGGTCAGACAAACTTAAGCCTCTTTTCTCACCAGACAGATCACTTTGGCAGACTGACCGTACAGTTTACTCAATCAGACAGCCCGTGATAGAGTAAATTACCACTTATAGGTTTGAAGAAACCTATAATGAAAGTTTTTCATGGTAATCAGTGCTTTGCTGGTCTATAAGAATGTAATATTTCGCCAATAAATAAACATTAATATTAGCAATTAAAGGATCAGTTTAGCAGAAAACTAGAAAACCTGACCACTGAAGAACAGGGTGAAAGGGGGCTAACAAAGTATGCAGAGAAACAGATGGACTACAGTCTGTAACTGTAGAACTACAAAGTGCACCTATATAGTAAGTGGAGCTGATAAAATGGACAATGAGCGTAGAAACAAGGAGGTGGTTTTAATGAAGTGTCTGGTCAGTGTACACCGATCAGGCATAACATTATGACCACCTCTTTGTTTTTATTATCCATTTTATCAGCTCCACTTACTATATAGATGCACTTTGTAGTTCTACAGTTACAGACTGTAGTCCATCTGTTTCTCTGCATACTTTGTTAGCCCCCTTTTACCCTGTTCGTCAGCGGTCAGGACCCCCATGGACCCTCACAGAGCAGGTAGTATTTGGGTGGTGGATCATTCTCAGCACTGCAGTAACACTGATGTGGTGGTGGTGTGTTAGTGTGTGTTGCGCTGGTACGAGTGGATCAGACACAGCAATGCTGCTGGAGTTTTTAAACACTGTGTCCACTCACTGTCCACTCTATTAGACACTCCTACCTTGTCAGTCCACCTTGTAGATGTAAAGTGAGAGACGATAGCTCATCTGCTGCTGCACAGTTTGTGTTGGTCATCCTCTAGTCCTTCATCAGTGGTCACAGGACGCTGCCCACAGGCCGCAGTTGGCTGGATATTTTTGGTTGGTGGACTATTCTCAGTCCAGCAGTGACACTGAGGTCATAATGTTATGCCTGATCTGTGTATAATAGGCTTATCTAATAAATAACTATAAAATATATTGTGTCATTCTTGCTCTATGCAACTTGTTTGTCCATAAGAAGGAAAAAAGAAAATCTAGTTTTAAGAATCATTTAGACAAAGTTGCAAAATGAGAGCAAAATGTCCCACCATGCTGTGCTTAAATAGTAAAAATGTGTTCACTTTACTTTACTATGCCAAATAATTCAGAAATCTTCTGTGCATCTTCTGCACAATATGGGATTTGAGTATGAGAGAAAACAGATGCAGCCCAGCTCAGTGTAACACAGCCCAGCACAGTGCAGATGGAGGAGACCTAAAGGCAGCTGGGTCTGGGGTGGAGCACAGAGAAATAGAGCACATGTAATTCAGCTTCTGAAGACATACACACTGACCTACAAAACACCCTGACTTCTGAGACATTCTGACTGTTAATGAATAGTTATTTCCTTACTCATAAAGTATTTTGATAGTGCGCAATATATGCCTGGTTTGCATACGTACTGTGCAAAAGTCATTCACTATTTAGTATCAGACATTTAACATAAAATTGTACAGTAGCAACAACTAAACAACTAAATATAATAGCATTTTTTTCAGTATTCAGTCCACTTTTCGTCTTTATTACAGCTTCCATTCTTTTCAGGGAACCCGCTTTCAGTTTTTCAAATAAATGTCCATAATTTAAAATAATTTCCAGTCAAAGCAGCCATTAAGTACAAATTATTCATGTTCCAGAGTCAGGAAAAAAGCTTAAAACCAGCATTTAGTGTGTCCACTCTTTGTCTTTATTACAGCTTGCATTCTTTTCAGGAAACTTGCTTTCAGTTTTTCAAAGAATTCTACAGGGATATTTTTCCACACCTCCAAAGTTCAGTCTTAGAAGTTGGTTTCTGTGTCTCATGATCCAAGTAGGCCTAAACACATTTAGTGATGTTGAGGTCTGGACTCTTAGGTGGTCAGTCCATTGTTCTGAGAACACCAGCAGCATTTTACAGATCATCTAATCTTCTCAGAAATATCTCTTGAAAAATCAGTAACTTGTACTTAATGGCTGTTTTGATTAGAAATTAAATAGATGAAGGGGGGTCTTTGGGTTCAAGTACTGTATATATAAGACATACT